ATAATTGTACCCAAAAGGCCTTAATAACCTTACAAGTCCACCACATATGAAAAAAGGTTGCATCTGGATGACCACACCTCCAACACTTGGATTCATAATTCGAATAGATACGAGACATAGTTGAGGGATCCAAGTGCCATCTATAAAACATCTTATAAAAATTTTCACGTAAATTTTGAGCTTGTGTAAACTTCACATTAAGTTTAAGTTGCAGCGGTGGCGGCGGCTTCTAGCTTCGCCGAGGCGAAGGCGTCCTGGATCGCGGAGAATCCTCGGGGCTCCGGAGGAGTTCTAACCTACATCGTCCAGATCGGATGACTCGGGAACTCAACTCCTACCCCGGGCAGCTCACCGATCCCCTTATGCCCGGGGGAAAGGTATCAAGCCGTTTGACAGCTAATGCTCGCTGTCAAAACGGCTTTTACGCGAAACAGGCGGGAGGCAGCTACAGCTGCGTCCGACGAGGTCGCCTGCTCACCGGAAGTCCTCATTGCAAGAATAACTTGATCCTAATTGGAATTTTACTTCTTAAAGCTTGTGGACTAAAAGACTTCCTACTTTTACTGAAGATTTGGTTTTTTTACGTATAAAAAAGAGTAAATCTGAAAAGATTATAAAAACCTCAGAGCTAAAAGAAAATGTTAAATGTGGGCCTAGAGACAATAGATAAGACTTATAACCTTGAGATATCAGCTGTGAAGCCCAGCTGTGTTCCATACTTACTGAAAAAAATTTTTTTTTACATTCTCTTAGTGCAAAGCTTTTACATTACTAAGAGAATATGGAGGAAGATCAGGAACAGATTCTCTTTATGCTGAAAGCAATTTACCAAACTATTCTTAAAACTACTGATGAAATAAGAGGTTGCAGAAAAGAATGGGATGTCAGCCCAGATACACGCACTCAAAGTTTTATATTTAACTAAATGGTTTGTATGGGCACAAAAGACATGATAACTAGGGTTATTTTTTTATTGGTCATGTAGTTTTAACATTTTTACTTGCTTACATTTTTTAATAAACTGTTTTTGATAGAGAGTCCCCCTTACCACATTGTGAGGTTCCTTGGTCAAGGAACATGGTATCTAAGAGTCCTACCCCTTGCAGCTTCCAGACCTAATATCAAATTGTTTGATAATTGACTTTAAAGAGAAAATAAAATCAATGTCAGTGCAATGTCTCCAGTTCTAATGCTTTCCTGAGAAATCCAATTAATATAATACAACAACCGCCTCATTACCATGGAAGTGGTTTTACTATTAGTGTTTACCAGGGCTTTTTTTCTCATAGAACGCCTAGAACGGAGTTCCGACACCTTTTTTGGATGGAACCTTGTAGGGTAGGCAAGGCGGGTTGTATGATGTGTGTGAGTTCCGGCACCTTTTTTTTTTTTTTTTTTTTTTTTTAGAAAAAAGCACTGGTGTTTACTATTAGTGTTTTACAAAACAGATGCTTAGCATAATTTCTATACTGATATCAAGGAACTCTTGTTCACTCACAACCTCTTTCTCATAGTACCCAAGTAGAGAGGCCACTAGGAGGGGACTCTAGCAAGTTACATCTATTCCTTTCCAGTTTGTTCATCTCTTTTTTATCTACCTAGTTCTCAGTTTAAAAAGAATGAAATCAATTTATAATAAACATAATTTTATTTGATTTATTTATTACATTTTATGTCACCCATCTCCCTTGCAAAGTGACTCTAATAACCATAATAATGTCATTACACTGATTTCTCTGTTAACAATCAGTGAATCAGTGAATACTGAATAACTCAGGCCATTACTATTAAACATCAAAACATCTGACAGACTATCCCACCTCTTTTACATAGACAGTCTGAAGCTGTATGGAAAAATATCATCTGAAATACAATCACTGCTCAACACTGTCTATCTATACAGCCAAGATATTGCAATTGCATTTGGTCTGGACAAATATGCCACACTCACCGTGAAATGGGGAAAAATAGTGAAAACTGAAAAAATCAAGATGCCGTATGGAAATTACATCCAGAGTCTGGATGAAGATCACTATAAATGTGTGAGCATCTTTCAAGCTGATAACATCAAGCTCACTGAAGTCAAGAAGATTACAAGTAAATATATTAAGAGTGAAGAAGATCTTAAAGTCTAGATTCAATGGAGGAAATACAGTTAAGGCAATTAAAACCTAGGAAACACAATTTATTATATGCACAGCTGGAATAGTGGACAGTGAAGAAGATGCACTGAAGCCAGGCTTACTGACTTACTGGGGAGATCAAACTGGTCTCTGTACAAGAAAAACCAAATAAAGAACAAAAAAGAGACTTGTGAAAACAAAGTATTGCATGGCTAGTACACTGAAAATGAAATAACAGGCAAATCAAATAATAATAAGACCTGGCAATGGCCAAGAGCAGGAAAGTTGAAGAAAGAGACAAAAGAGCTAATTGTGGCTTCACACAACCAAGCCTTAAGAACAAATGCATATAAAGCTAGAATTGAGAAGATAGCCATACACAGCAAGTTCCATCTCTGGAAGAAGCTGAAGAAAGAATGGGTCACCTGTTTAGCTGCTGCAAGAAGATCACCCAGACTGACTACAAACAACTGCATGACAAAATAGTAACGAAGATGCATTGGAAGATCTGCATGACGTACCATTTGCCTGCAAGCAAAAATTGGTGGGACCATAAAATAGAGGAGGTAATAGAAAATGAAGAAGCTAAGTTGCTGTGGGACTTTAGAATTCAAACCAACAGGCACCTCCCACATAATATCCCAGACTTAACGATTTTTGATAAGAAAGAGAACAAAATTCTGGATAGTGGATATGACAATACCTGGACACAGCAGAATAGAACTGGAAAAGATAACAAAATAAAAAGATCTGCAAATAGAAATAGAACTGTGGCAAAAGAAAGCAAAAACAATGCCAATGGTAACAGATCCCAAAACAACTGGACCACCACTTTAATAACATTGGCATTGACAAAATAGCCACCAGTCAATTGCAAAAGGCAACTTTATTCACAACAGCTTACATCCTGCAATGATACATTTAATACTATCAAACAACATTTGCCTATCCCAGGTCCTTGGGAAGAACTTGATAGGTGAATAAAAATGTCAAATCCAGTCTGAATATCTGGCTGACATTGCAACGAACCATAATAATTAGCAAATTATTAAAAATAGAAAATTATAGAAAATCAGAAAATAATGAGAAAACTTGCTTGTTGGCAAAAAATCCATCTGCCAATTTAAAAAAAGCCACCCTTCTCGTATTCGCACATATAGTCTGCTGATACATTATGACATCCTATTTTCTTGGGAAGAACTTGATGCATATGAAGGCCAACATCAGCTAAAGAAATGGGAGCTGTGATTTCACTTTTTCGGCTATATAGCGATAATCATGCAATCAAAAAAGTTAGTAATTCATGGCAGTAATTAAAATGTACTAAAATGGTAGAAACCCATATGCTATTGTACTGTACAAAGCTAAGTTATAAAATGAACAAAGGTGCTCTTTCATGCCTGAGTTTTTAAGCACTTTCCCAGGTTATATGCATATTTTTGTTTTTTCTGGTTATTTTAAAATGTTTTTATTGCTTTTATTTATTTATTTATTTATTTAATTACATTTATATCCCGCCCTTCTCCTTGCGGACTCAGGGCGGCTGACAATAGATAAAATGCTAACATGTTATACATCTAATTAAAAATCGATTAAAAAGAAATATTTAAATACGTCCAATTTAAAAGTAATTAAAACCCCTTTAAAATCCCTTAGGCCAGTCCCGCGAGCTGG